TCCCCGTTACAATTAGCACTAGTTACTTGTATTATTTCATGTTTGCAGCGTTTTCGCCTAAACAGAAATAAATGGGTAGCATGATGAGCACAACCAATATCCTATTGACATCATGCCTAAAGTTTTATTCAAAACTAAGGTAATGTGTTCAATTGTTGAACCCTTTGTATTTGAATTGTCCTACATAAAACTTTGATCTCCGGTTGTGACCATACTACCCTGCGCGGAGGGTCATGACTGGAACCAACCCTGAGGATTTCCTTTATGACATTGTTTGAACAATTTTGACTCTGTTGTTCTTACATGTAAGATGAACACTTTGAAAGATATTTCATATATATTTAAAATTTGATCCCTCTGTTTTAGTCAACTCTAACCACGACGGTCAAGGGGGAAATCTTGGATGTTCACTCTCTGTATTAATGTGTTGATTGTTCTTGAGAAGATTTCTCGAAGATTTTACATGTATATATTTTTTTATTACCTGTTGTGCTCAAACCAGTACTCGGTGAACATAATTTGGTCAAACTTAAATCACTTCCCATGGATGTTTTTTTTTTGTTAATATGATTAATTCATGAAGAACAAAACTTTAAAATGTATTATTTTTTTTTATATTATGGCTTGTCAAATGCTGCACAATATTCAATCTTTTCCATTCTTATTTGTATTGTATAATTTTTTATTTGTATTGTATTTATAATTTGTATTGTTAAAATTCTTATTATCTACACATAAAATTATGCTGTTGCTATTTTTGAGACGAATATTTTCAAAAAAGAGCTTCCCTGTACATTCATAGCTTTGTTTTAAAGAACTCTTCAATAGTTTCTGGTCAATTATCTGTTTTTCTAACGGAAATTCAATAGAATAATCTTGTTTATATCCAAGATAAAGTGTACTCTCGTGCCAAATGGATGAAAGGTGTCGATGTTGTCTCATTGGACCAAAAAGTAATCAAATATAGGGTTATACACGCTAAAAAGATATATTCAATTTCGTTTAAGTTTCTTAGATTGGAAGCAATTTACTTTGACGTTGAGTATTGAGCACAAAATTCCAGAACTAATTCAAAAAGGAAGTTTGATGCATTGACGCGCGAATTTGCTGTATCTAAAACGAAGCATACTTTTTAATCATCTTTTTCAATCATTTTTTTTACGCCTTTTTCGTGCCAGTATCTACTGCGACACGGGACCTCGGTTTTTACGTATTCATCCGAAGGACCGGTCTCTACATCCCACAGTGGGATTCGAGCCCGCGACGTAAGGATCAACTCCTTACTTCGTGACTCCATATTAAATAAATACTATTTGTCCTCTTCCTTCTTTAAACTTTCAAGGTTCACAAAACTGGTGGCCAAAACTCTTTTTTATCAACAGCCTGATGAAGTAGACGGTATATACAACAAGAGACCCATGGGCCACATCGCTCACCTGAGAAGCTTTGACCATTTTGTTCTTTACCAGATTTCCCCCTTGTCTTACCCCACTGATCATAATTTAGACATTTTGAAATCTACACTACCCCAGAATGCTTCCAAGTGCACATGAGTTTAAGCTTCTCTGGCCAAGTGGTTCTTGAGAAGAAGATTTTCAAAGATTTTTCCTATATATTTCTATGTAAAAATTTGACTCCCCATTGTGACCCCACCCTACCCCCGGGGGTCATGATTTGAACAATTTAGAATCTTCACTACCCCAGGATGCTTCCACATAAGATTCAGCTTTTCTGAACCAAAGGTTCTTGAGAAGAAGATTTCCAAAGATTTTTCCTATATATTTCTATGTAAAACTTTGATTCTCCATTGCGGCCCCGCCCTGCCCCCGGGGGTCATGATTTGAAAATTCAAATTTTACACTACCCCAGGATGCTTTCACATAAGTTTCAGCTTTTCTGACCAAGTAGTTCTTGAGAAGAAGATTTTCAAAGATTTTTTATATATTTCTATGTAAAACTTTGATTCCCCATTGTGGCCCCGCCCTACCCCCGGGGGTCATGATTTGAACAATTTAGAATCTACACTACCCCAGAATGCTTCCACATAAGTTTCAGCTTTTCTGGACCAGTGGTTCTTGAGAAGAAGATTTTCAAAGATTTTTCTTATATATTTCTATGTAAAACTTTGATTCCCCATTGTGACCCCGCCCTACCCCTGGGGGTCATGATTTGAACAATTTAAAATCTACACTTCCCAAGAATGCTTTCACATAAGTTTCAGCTTTTCTGGCCCAGTGGTTCTTGAGAAGAAGATTTTCAAAGATTTTTCCTATATATTTCTATGTAAAACTTTGATTCCCCATTGTGGCCCCGCCCTACCCCCGGGGGTCATGATTTATAAAATTTAGAATCTACACTACCTCAGGATGCTTCCACGTAAGTTTCAGCTTTTCTGGCCCAGTGGTTCTTGAGAAGAAGATTTTTTAATGAACCCACCCTATTTTTGTCTTTTCTTGATTATCTCCCCTTGTGAGGGGACTTGGCCCTTAATTTTAACAATTTAAATTCCCCTTCACCCAAGGATGATGTGTGCCAAGTTTGGTTATAATTGGCCCAGTGGTTCTTGAAAAGAAGTCGAAAATGTGAAAAGTTTACAGACGGACAAAATGTGATCAGAAAAGCTCACTTGAGCCTTTGGCTCAGGTGAGCTAAAAATGATTTATCGATATAAAAAATTAAGATACATGTGTAAGCGAAAATTCCGTAAATGTGAAAACCTGGATAATAATGCTCATCTGAAACAGGGCAATAGGGGTTAATTCCAGGTCGGATATGCAGTAACCAAATACCTTTCAGGCTATCAAATACCAACTTCGAACCCGTAAGCAGAATTAAAACCAGGCATTATTTAGTTCGTTTGCCTCACCTTTTCAGATCGAGGTTAACTACATTAATTTGCGTGATTTCAGCATCATATCAAAGAAGCACGTATAAATTAAACACACAAGATCAAGTAACCGCTGCAGTTATGTAACAGATAAGATAAGTCTTAATACTGATGTTCTTTATCACCATTCACACTGGTGTAATCGAAGAAAAATAATTGCACTCAAGAAACTTCTATTTTAGAATTAAAAATTTCTTTAATCCAGAATCAAATTGTGTACTTAATAAATGTCGATATAATTATGGCGGTAAAAAGTATTATAACCGGTACCAAAGTGAGATTGATATTATTAAATTCGTATTCCAACTCTCTGTAAAATTGCTTTATTGAATGAATAGTTCTAATACCTTAACGGCGTGTGTTCATCACACCTCTACAGTATCTGACAGTGGCGGATCCAGAAATTTTGAAAACGGGGGCCAGTTTTAGGTCAGGGTAGGGGCCCACAGCCACACCAAGAAACATTGATTTATCAAACATTGTGTTTTTTTAGGCTCAAAAGGGGGGTCCGGGCCAGTGTCTGGGTTCTGCAAAAAGCAAACATTAAAATTATACCGTATTCTGGTTTTCCGGCTTCAATAAAAGTAATTGTGCAAATTCAGTGCTTTGAAATCTGCTACTCTAGATCTCTCTCTAAAAGCAGATCTCATATTTATTGGATATAAGATCCACCTTTGATTGGACCAACCAGAGACGTTGTTAGCAAAATTGGCATTTGCTTTAGATCTGAATTCAAAAAATATCTGAACTCGGGTAGCCAAAATCTTGCCAACTCAAAATATCATAATGAATGTGAAGTATTTATACGTTTGTAATTAAGAAATGGGGAAAACCTACATGTTTCTTTCTCAAAATAAATTAAACATCAAACCAATTACGCTTACTTTTTCGTCCAAGGTTTTTATTATTTCTAATATATTTATATATATAATTAAAATCTACGTATAGATCAAGGTTTAAAATGTAAAAAGGAAATAAAACACCTTTTCCCGAGGTTGTGGATGCAAAAGACACTTTACGGTGTTATCAATACTAGAAAAATTAATTGACTTGTTCTGTTAAATTGTTATTACATGTATAAAACAAGTTATTAGCATTAAAACTTGTTTTCAAAAAAATTCAGCATTTCACTCTTTTTTTAATTTTGCTCTTTTATATTTGAAAAAAAATAAAAGAAAATCAGATTATCATTAAAAGTATTTTTATTTAAAACATTGTTTCAAGAATTGAAACAAGATCCTAGCAAAAACAAAAGTGGTGCGGAATATTTTTGAAAAAACTCGTGAATCACTTGCACGTCTTCTCTGCTTTTTCAAGATTTTCTACTTTATATGCGATATATATTCAAGTAACGCAATTTTCAGTGTAATTGATCAATTTAATGATATTGACGAATTCTTTTTACCATTATATTTATTTCAAATTTTTTTCGTTAGTGTTATCACACTGAAAGAAAAACCTAATGAATTTAACTAGTGTGTTTCGTAAAGCATTGGTAGTGATTAGTAAACTTTCAGTTTACTGGTTAAAATAGTGAGTTGTGGAGCGGGGGTCGTATAAATACTTAGATACATGTACCTAGTGAAAGTTACTCATCAATTCTAAATTTACTAATCTTATCTAGTAAATATACCAATATCGGGTAAAACTACTATTAAGGTAGTGACTGTATGGACAGTAAATCTACTAGTTTTCTTCGTGACATTAACTAGTTATTTTTTTTTTACAATGCAAGCATATGTGCATGCATTCTGAATGCGTGATTTATTTATCAGATATATGTCATTATTACATTAAGTAGGGGCGTTCAAGTCTCCAACCACTTGACTTTTATTTCCAATTTCAATCTTCAAAAGAAAACATACATGATGTACATATTGACTTTAATGACATGCACATCAAATGAGTTCTTATAAGTAACACTTTGACATCTTGATTATATAAAGCTTTTCGAACAAAATTTTAAAATAACAGTCAGAACTTTGATTTAAAAAAGTTAAACACCGTTTGATTTTTCCTCCCACCACAAAAATAAATTGACATCAAAAATGGAAACCATACCACAATGTATACAGATATCCCTGAGTTACTGAATTGGAAAAAAGAATCCTACCTTGAGCAAAAGTGTTGAATGGACAGAAAAATTCTCCAAGAACCCATCCTTCAGTCAAATCATCCACCAGGTGGACCCAAGAGCAGCTTAAAGAAACTACCAAATCGGACACCGCCAAATTAACAAGAAAATAGTTTGTGGTCGTTTGCATTCGTTTATTTTTAAGCACCACCAATATGATGAGAGTATTTCCAATTAGGGCTATCAAAATAAGTAGAACATATACTGTAATTTTCACAGCCGCCTCACCGGCGGGCGTTGACTCGAGCATATGTAGGGGATACTCATGATTCCGGGTATCAAAGTCAGAAAAATTAAACGTCTCGTTTAGATTCATCGCTAGAAACGTTTATTCAAAAATGTATCAAGGCCTTATCTACTTATCACATTCACATAAAATAAGTAATGATCTCAAAATAATTACGGGAGAACTCCACAAGTTAGTGAACGCGCACATGAAACGCGTTGCTGGGTAATTAGCAAAATAATCCGAACATTCTCTGCGCCATTTATCGGTCTGCTCTCTGACTGGCGTTTGTGAGTACATCGAATTCTTATAGTGTATCGACTTATTCCACTCCTACTAAAGCAACTTACAGATTTCCACATAGACTGATTCTCTTATTTCTGATCACTTATCTAATACACAGGTGAACATACACAAAAACAATGATGGACATTAAACTACTCTGTTTCCTCATTAAATGTAATGCACGCTTCGATTAGCATGACAAGAAAAGAAAAAAAGTTGATTAATTGCTAAATAATGTTTGAAATTTGTTAACAAACTCTTTCATTGTAAAAGCGATTGAATATGTTCAATTATCACACAAGTATAAAACGACGGAAGAAAATAAAACGATTAAGAAAACGTCCAACACACAATCTATAGTGTCACAATATTAATCACAATTATTCTCTCTCATATTGCATCTTAGGTGATAATGTTCAGCTTTCCCGAATTCGGACGTATTATATTCCACAAGAGGTCTGCTACATCGTAAAATTCAGTGTCATTCCAGGCCTGCATCCTTAGATACTCATAATATTGGATTAAGGTCACTCATAGATGTTATAATACTCGCTATGAACGATAGAAAATTCTGCAGTTCCTCTCAAATTGCTAAACATTAAAGCGTTTCAATTAGTACATAAGAACTCCTTTTTTATACTTAGTATCTTTATCAACACAAGAGGCCCAAGGGCCTTATGGGTCACCAAAGTATAATACAACAACTTCAAGATTCAACACAGCCCTATCTAACACCAAAAACTCATGATCCAGTGTCATGAATTCACAAATCTGAACGAAATATCTTCATCATCATAACTCTGCACTAAGGTCTGCACTTAGTTAAAGGTACCACATTTTCACTGTATTATCAATAGACCCCCCCCCCTTCCCCAAAAAAGGAGATACAAAATCCCTTCACCCTGGTACCATAAAGTTTTTAAAAATTTGTAAAAAGCACTCGATCCTATTCATAATAAATATACACCTTGTTTATCTGCTCAACACTATGGATTAGAAATGATTATTTAACAGAATAAATGCACTTTCACTACATAATTAATAGAGCCCCACCCTAACACCAAAACCCCTTGCCCTGGAGGACATGGAAATCACTTTTTTTTTTAAAAGTCACTCTTGCTCGTGATACTTTGTTTATTACCCAAGAGCAATGAAAAAGATTTTGAAAGAATTAATGTAATTTCTCTTTATAATCAATAGAGCCCCCCCCCCCCCCCATACAACGGGTGTTGCTAAAACGCGGAACGGAAAACGGAACGGAAAGCGGAACGGAACGGAAAACGGAATATATTATTATGTATTAAATCACTTAAAACACACAAATTTTATCATAAATGATATATCTTGTACATATTCAATCCCTCACTATTAAATACAAGGTGATTTTGTCATGCTCAGTCTTTTACGAAAATCGCTAACATAGCAGTCACCTAGAATCGAATTTGAAAAAAGGGGGGTAACGAACTTGAAAAGTATTGACAAGCAAAAACACAAAAAAGTCAACTGTTTGATTTGGGAGGGGGGATAAGTTCCAACTCCAACATCTTTTAGTACTATTTTTACGCTAACTTACTACGTTAATTACGTTACACAAAAAGTGTGAGGATGTCATCTTGAACGAACATTTCCGTGGTAAAAAGGTTATGACTGGAGGAGCAAATATTTGATATCTAGATGAACCATGGAAAGAGAAAGTAAATGTGAAAAAAAAAATATATATATAAGATTACGTTTAGGGCAAACCTTTACGGCAAGCTCGAATAAACATCTCTTATACACACTGGTTGTTAAAATTTTATACAAAATAGAGTTGCTTTCTATATATTTAAATTCTGGAAAGACAAAATTTTCATGTGATAGATATAATAAGTTAAATTTGTTTCTTTGCGGTGCATATGTGTATGTTGGGGGGGGGGGTACAAGGTGTCTATGAATACCCCGTAAAAATGAGTTTGTTTTCCCGCTCATCGGAAAGGTCTGAGAAATTGTCATAGATATGCCACCCTTTTGTGTCTAAAATATAATTAAGGTTTAATAAATTCAATTTTAATATGTCTGTCGGTTCCTACCCAATCGCGAAACTGTCTCTCCCCCTTTCATGATCGATTCGCGAATTCGACACTCCGTGCATAGTCTGAATGTCAAAACTAGTTAATTTTGTCTTTGCAGACATTGGCATTGGAAACAAATTGAAAGAGGGCTGGGGGGGATCAGTAAAAAATTTGCAACATAAATTTCCAACATACAAAAAATTTGACAAGCAAAACAAAAAAAAAAAAGATGAAAATTCTTATTTCATTAGGAGAAGGGGTGGATGGGATCGAATTTTTTTCAGTACCATTTTTTCCCAAACACTACCACTTAACCTTCCTTGACCTAATTGCAACAGGCGTGTTGAAAGGGGGGAGGGGGCATGGCTTGTACACCACTCCAGTTCTGAGCGGAGGGTGTGCATGATTCTTGAATATAAAATAAATTTTTATTAAATATGACTTTAACATCAAGAATATTGCTCTTTTATCTTATTTATATCGAATCTATGTAATTTGTTTGATAAAAAAATTTCCGTTTTCCGTTCCGTTCCGCGTTTTAGCAACACCCCCAATACAACAAAACCCCTGAACCAGGGGCCATGAAATTCACAATGTTAGAAGAAGCACTCTTGATCATCATAACTAAAAAGATTTTGAAAGAATTAATGTATTTTAAATATATAATCAAAAGTGCCCCCTTACACCAGAACCCCTGATCCAGGGGCCATGAAATTCACAATTTTGGAAGAGGTACTCTTGATTATCATAACTCATAACTATTTCATTAGTTAGTTTGTTTAATATCAAGGAGCAGAGAGGAAGATTTTCAAAGAAATTATGCACTTTCACTATATGATCCATGTAGCCTTGCCCTAAAACCAGAACCCCTCACCCAGGGGCCATGAAATTCACAATTTTGGAAGAGGCACTCTTGGTCATCAGAACTCATAACTATGTACTTAGTTTGTTTGTTTAATACCCAAGAGCAGAGAAGAAGACTTTCAAAAATATAATGTACCTTCACTATATGATCTATATAGCCCCGCCCTAACACCAGAATCCCTGACCCAGGAGCCATGAAATTCACAATTTTGGAAGAGGCACTCTTGGTCATCATAACTATGTACTTACTTAGTTTGTTTAATACTTTGGAGCAGAGAAGATTTTCAAAGAAACAATGCACTTTCACTAAATGATCTATACTCAACAAAAAAAGAAACGCATATTGCTTTACTCGTCAAAGAAATTTTTCAAATGCACATGGAACAACTATTTTTTATATCATTGGATACCTGTGACCTATTAAAAGGACAACATGGGGTTTTAAAACCCAAGTGTTGAATTATTTCCCTTGATTAAACGTGTTTATGAAAGTAGTGTTTTTCATAATTTCTTCTGAATCGGACGTCTATTTTCGTTGATAATTTGGATTTAGAGAAACTATTACAATGAAGCGCATTGAAGTGGTAAAATTTTCTGTTTGAATGGAACGTTTTGAGCTATCTTTAGACACGCCCATTTCTTTAGAAAGGAAAATTCGGTCAAATGATTCAATCGAATACCTATAGAACAGGTATTTCATAAATATAATAGCCAATGAAATTGACGGTCTACATAAACACCGAGTAAGCACGTGTTCGACCGATACATGTGTTATAGTAACTCCAATCAACATAATAAAATCATAATTATGTACAAATCCGTTGCAATGCGTGTTTAACATAAGCGGGAACTCTATACATAGCTCTTTCTTATTTAAAAATCTTCATTTCAGTGTAACTCATTTTGCTTGTCGCGGAAAGTGTAGGGTCCCAAAACATAACGACGAATATTCCTTTCTCGTTTCTAAAGAAATGGGCGTGTCGTTATGTTATAATTGACGTTCAAAACATGACTCAGAACGTTTCGTCCGATTGGAAAATTTTACCACTTCAATGCGCTTCATTGTAACACTCCTATTAAACCCATATTTAAGATTTGATTGCAGTGTTGATGCTGCAATGCCACGCCGAAACAAAGATGAACACAACCAGGCTAACAATGATACTAAACGGAGCTACGCAACAGGAGGTTGCAACTGCATTTGGAATACATCAATGGGCCTTGCAGCCGTTAAACTATCGTCGAAAGACCAAGAATTAGCCGTCCGCAGGTAACCACATCCAGGCAGGACCGTCTGATCCCCCCCCCCCCTTCAGCATCTCACGCGATTCAGAACTTGCTGTAAAAACTGCTGCTACATTTGCTAAATGAAAAAATCGGCACAAAAGTGCATAAATTGTTCGCAAGAGACTAAGGAGCTGGTATTCGTGCATGACATCCGTACATTGGAAATTCACTAGCGCTTAGACGTCGCAAAGGACATATGGATTAGTTTAAACGGTATGCGCCAAGAATTTGGAAGCATCGACCATGACATAAACTTCACTTTTCTACTCGCAACACATGATATATTTAATTTTTATCAAAACCCACTAAAATCACTTTTAAAAAAATAAGGATTAAACTGCAAACTTAGATTATCATGTTTAATCTGAATATGCGTTTCTTTTTTGTCGAGTATCTATAGCCAAGCCCTAACACCATAACCCCTGATCCTGGGGCGATGAATTTCACAATTCTGGTAGAGGGCTCACTGCTCATTACAAGTATGCTAACACTATGACTGCTTGATATACAGGAGTGAAGACGATATTTAAAGATTGCATTGCTTTTGGTAGTTTTAGCCCCATTTCTCAGGCCCCAGAGGGGCAGGGACCATGAAATTCATAATTTTATTTCCCCGTCATCCATAGATGCTCTATACCAAATTTTGTTGAAACTGGTTGAGTGGTTCCAGAGAGGAAGCTGAAAATGTTCAAAAGTTACGACCGATTGACGACGACGGACGAAAACAGATAGCAATAGGTCACCTGAAATTGAAGAGGATTTATAGTGAGGATAAAAAAAAAACGAAGAAAGTTGCGTAAGACTAACTGGTGAATCGTGATCATAAGTCAATGACATTTATAAAGTTTCAAGATGAGAAAAATTCCAAGTTATATGATGTTAATCACACATTTTTGAAGTCGGTTACCAGAGTCATGTTATAAACAAAACATTCAAACAATTCCTCATATAGTCAAGAAATTATGTAACAATTTCATAAAAACAAATCTCGACAAGAATGGGATTCACGACGTTTGCCACAACATAACCAAGAAATTTTAAAATTT